TGGCTTTCTTACCTCTTCAATAACACTTCCTGTCACTCTCTCCCTCACTCTAAGTTCCAGCTCCAGCTGTCTTTTTGTTCTTAAGCACGTCAAACATTTTTCCCCTCCCTGCAATGTTCTTCTCCCCATCCCTCATCTGGTGACTTTGTCTTACTCCTCTGTTTTCTTCTTAAATCCGAAATCTTCCTTGACCATTCTCTGTAACACTTTCTGGTCCCCCAATCATTTATATCATAGTACCTAATTTGCATCCTTCATAAAACATATTGCAGCCTGTAATTAGATGGATTATGATGATAGATGACAGATAGACACATAGATAGATAGACAGACAGATGGATGGCTCTTCTTTAGTCGTTTAATGTTTCCCTTGCCCACTGTATCCTCTACATGAAAGGGCTCAATAAGTTTTTATTGAATGAATGAAATACACTGCTCTCTTTTTTGATCACTTTTCTTTGAATTTGCATTTTGTAACCAATTTGCATATATTTCCAAGTTATTTTACTTATAAATCTAAAAATTTCCTCCCCTGACTACTTTCTACCAGATTTGAAGAATGGAAGAGGTAACATCCTATCCACCCTCTTTTTACTGAAAAGCACTAAGAAACAATATTGCAGGATATTTTCAAATGCTACATGTTTTTTAACTCCCATTGACCACTAGATTTCTTATATTCCCATATATGACCAAATTCTAGATTTCCTAGAACTTTTATTTAAATACATATCCATTTATTATCTTCTGTCATCAAAATGAAGCAGAGGGGCCAGCCCCGTGGCTGAGTGGTGAAGTTCACATGCTCCACTTTGGCAGCCCAGGATTTTGCCCGTTCCGATCCTGGGCATGGACATGGCACCAGTCATCAGGTCATGTTGAGGCGGCGTCCCACATACCACAACTAGAAGGACCCACAACTGAAATATACAACTATGTACTGGGGGGATTTGGGGAGAAAAAGCAGAAAAAAAAAGAAAAAGATTGCAACAGTTGTTAGCTCCGGTGCCAATCTTTAAGAAAAAAAGATGAAGCATATAGTTAAGTCGGCTTCTCTATTGTTTGTGTCTTGAGGAAAATAATAAAAGAAGGACAATTCCACTCAAACTTTGTTTTAATATATGAGGTAGTATAGGTAACTTTTCATTGCAAGTACCCATAAACATCTTTCTTTTGTTATTTCACTCCCAGCTTCTAGCCAAAACATTAAAAAAAAAAAAAAAAAAACTGTTCTTGCAATCCTTGCAGAATGTCAAGGCTTAGAAAAAGAAGAAAGTCCCAAAAATCTTTTCAGAAATCCTGTTTGGGCGCCATTCCCAGCTAATTTTTGCAGACCAAGATGTTTGGGCAGTCCTGGTATGCCGGGGATAAGCAGTTGAGGATTTCTATCTGAATCAAACCCGAACTCCAACCCTAATTAAAATACCACAACATTGTTAACTCCTTGACTGTGTTAGACATCAGTTTAGTAGGACTAATTCCATTCTGGAATACAACCTCTCGTTTATGTGCCTGCTGATTGCTTATGTTTTCATTTCATCTCTCCTGCTGCTTTTCAAAGGATAGAAGTGTTGTCTTACTTTTTGGCTACGCAAACATCTCTGGAGTTACATAAAGAAAGTAAAATTATTGAAGCCAGATAACACAGATATGGTGACAGAAGCTTCTGGAGCTTTCTGTTTTATCCACTTTTCCCCCTCTGATGACTAAGGAGGGTGCAAAAGAATTCTTGTGATAGTTTTTTATATTGTCATACATTTTGCAGAAAGAAATACTGATATATATATATACATAGACCCATAAAATTTTAATTGACAAATGCATTTGATGTTGACATTTAAGTTCCTAGTCCCCCATGTAGGAAGCATGAACTGACAAGATTAGTGCAAACTCTGTGTGTGTTTGTACAACATAGCATATATGTAATCGATGCTTAGAAGTTACCAGTCTGTAAAAATATGCCCTAAATTCTTTGAAATCACATCAAAGAAAATCAGCAAAGGACACATGTTCTCTGTCCCTCATCCCAGGACCTCTTTACATGCGCGTCACCTTTTGATCCTGTTGCCTTCAAACCTTCTTTCACCTCCTCAATTTCAGCTTGCATTACCTGTTGCTAACACTACTGCTATTCCCTCATTACTATTTCACTCAGAGTTCTGGAGCCTAGTATGAAGTCAAATATAAAGTGACAAGTGAAAACCAGGGGGCTTCAAAGTACAAATTGTATGTGATCTTCTTGCCGTAACAGAATAGTGTCATTGTCCTGTGAAATTAGAGCATCTACGTTCTTTAACTCCAGAGAATTAGCAACCACATGGATTCTACACAACAGCTCATGGGAATTCTAGAGAGACTTGGAAACCTTCCTCAGAAGCAGCACAAGTAGGGAGTTCCCAGATTCCCATGTAAATACTTTCCTCAAATTATAAACATATCATTTATCAAATTGAACAATTATTTACTGGCTATCTCTCCCAGATGCTGGGCATAAAGCAATGAGGAAAAGTCAAAAATCTCTCCCTCATGGAGCTCACTTTCTATCTGGGAAGAAAGTTAACAAACAAGTGAGTAAGTACAGTGTATATTAGGCCAGAGCATGCTAAGTGCTGTAGAGAGAAGTAAGGCAAGGAAGGAGGACTGTGGGCTGGGGATGGGGGTGTTGGGCAGTGGGTGGAAGTTTAATAGAGTGATCAGGGAAGTCTTTACCACATGAGACACTTAAGGAAAATCCTGAAAGAGTAGGCAGGTAGGATATCTGGGGGAGGGGCACAATAGGCAGAGGGAAGAGGGAATGCAAAGACCCTGACGAGGGTGCATGCCTTATGTCTTGGAGGAAGAGTGAGAAGACCAGAGAGGCTCAAGTGGAGAGAGTGAGGGAGACTGTGGAGGATATGATGTCACAGGGGTCAGGAGAAGGGGGAAGGGAGTCCAGGTAGGACCTTGTAGTTCAATGTAAGGACTTTGGCAGTTATGTTTCACTCTGAATGAGATAAGACGCCACTGGGAGTATAGTCATTTCCTAGGCCTGTCTTTACAAATTACCACAAACTAAGTGGTTTAAAACAACAGATATTTCTTGTCTTTCAGTTCTGGAGGTCAAAAGTCCAAAATCAAGGTGTTGGTAGCAACACGCTACCTCCAACCATGCTGCGAGAGATTCTTTCTTGTCTCTTCCTGCTTTTGGTGGCTCCAGGCACTTCTTAGCTTGGGGCTACATCACTCTCATCTCTGCCTTCCTGTTCACATGGCCTTCTCTTCTGTGTCAATGTGCCTTCTCTTCCGTCTCTTGTGAGGACATTTCTTATTGGATTTAGAGCCCGTCCAAATAATCCAGCATGATCTCATCTTGAGATCTTTAACTTAATGACATCTGCAAAGACCCTTTTTTCCAAATAAACTCACATTTACAGGTCCCAGAGGTTAGGAGGTGGACATATCTTTTAGGGGGCCACCATTCAACCTATTATGGAGAGTTTTGAGTAGAAGAGTGGCAAGATCTGACTTGTATTTAATAAGTTCATTCTGGTTCCTGTGATGAAAATAGACTGTAGGAAAGCAGGATGCCTGTACAGCAGAACCCAAGAGACTATAGGGTACAAAGCAATAATTCGGGTGAGTATGTGGCCTGCACCTGAACAGTAGTAATGGAGGTGATGAGAAATGGTTGGATTCTAGATATGTTTTAAAGAGATGACAGAATTTACAGATTTTATATGAGATGTAGAAGAAAGAGTAGAATTATGGGTGAATCCAAGGTTTGGGGCCTACATATCTGTGAGTTACCTTTGATGTATATCATAGAAATGCTTCTTTTCCTATACAGCTTTTGCATTACATTGGCAGGGTCAAGGTCACTGGCTAGCTGCTACTCCTCCTTCATCAGGTCTCAGGTTGGATGTTGTTTCCTTCTGGCAGCCTTCCCTAACTTTGATAGATTGGGTCAACATATCTCTATACGCTACACCCTAAGCTTATCCCTGTCATAGCTTTTTTTGTCATTAGTCTTAACTTGCTTGCTCAAAACACCCTAAAATTTAGTAACTTAAAACAAAAAGCATGTATTTAGCTCATGGTTTTGCAAATTGACAAATGACTTAGCTTGGCCGCTCTCCTGGTCTGGGCCAGGGACCACTGATCTTGGCTGGACTTGCTCATGTATCTGCAATTAGCTAGTGGGTCGGCAGGGCCTGGCTGATTCATAATGCCTCAAGTGAGATGGCCGAGATGACTGGGGCTCTCTCTCCATGGAGTCTTTCATCCTCCACAGGCTGGCCTGAACTTGTTTACAGAGCAGTCAAAGGGTTCCAAAAGGGTGAGAGCTGAAGCTTCAAGGTCCCTTAAAGTCTAGGTTCCGAACTGGCACAATTTCACTTCCATCAAATTCTTTTGGCCAAAACAAGTCATAAAACCAATCTAGAATTAAGGGATAAGTAAATAGACTCCACCTATTTATAGGAAGTTACTGAGTATTGTAGCAATTTTTGCAATCTATAGTATCATTTAATATAGCTGCTTATTTCGGTGTCTCTCTTCCCTGCTGGCTATCCCACAAGCAGAGAAACAAATCTCTCTCTGTTTTCTATTGTATCTCCAGATGGTAAACACTGAATATGTATTTGGTAAAGAAATGAATGGCTGAAAGAATGAATGAGAGAATCGATTGGTAGACAAACTAAAATACAGCTCAGCCTGCAAATGTCATGATTGCTTGGTCGGCCTCTATTCGCCTGAGTTCTACATCAGAATATTCATACAATCAGTATCTATAATCTGTATTTTCAAGTGGGGTAAATTATTGCTTCAACTCAAAGATCTGAATTAATGTGGGCATATGTAAGAAATGGCCAAAATAAGCATTGTTTTTTTCAACATAAATATTTGGCATAATTTTTAAGGGAGCTAGATACTCATTTGCTTTATATTAACCTAGAACAATGAATTATTTTAGTTTTTTTGGAATAGCTGTATCTGTATATACAAGTTAACAAGATACTTACCTCTTGAGTTGCAATAGTCATTATGTAGACCCATTTTTCTTTAAGGTTCAGAGTTCTTTTTTGCCTCAGTCACCTGGGTCTCTTTAGGCATGCAAACAAAGTTTTTCAAAAGGATTCTTTTCTTCCTTGCTGATGTTGCCTTAGAATCTAAAATGCAAAGAATTCATGACTGGTGAAACACCTTGATTGTTAAGCAACGCCATTGTCTGGGAAACTTCCAGTGTTTTACAAATGGAATAGCAGCAAGTTATCCTTTTTGCAGTGGAAATATATAAGAGCCTTAGTGATAGAGAGAAGCACTGAATTTAAAATCTGTGTGCCCAATCATTTTCACTAATGATTTCATTCCTAAAGCTCCATCCATTTTTCTGTTATGCCACATACCATGAAGAATTTACACTCCTTTTAGACTCTCTTACATCTTTCAAACCCTCCTTAACGTGAACTTCTTTTGGCACTGAAGCCGAACATCTTCCAGGGCCTTATTGATCTATGTATGTCAACGCGCTGTTTGTGCTGCTTGTCTGTCTGTTACAGTTGGTCTAATAAGTCTATTGGACTTTTCAATACTGTATTTGGTAGCGTGCCTATGTTTTGTACTCAGTATAACAGAGGTGTGGAAACAAACTAGTAATCTGAGAAGCAATTCAGAGAGAGCTACTCCTAGAGAACCTTTAACTCTCCAAAGAATCTTTTAATTGTTCCAAGAGCAAGAATATCTGGGAAGCAGAAATATAGTGAGGAGCTATCTGGGGGTCCTATGGATATGTGAAGAGTAAAAGCTCAGTTCTTTGGACATCGAAGGAAGGGAACAAGAAAGAAGAAAGAAAAGTTGTTTCCACATCAAGTAGATATTGTTAACTGTTAGAAACCTGTGTCTGCTAGGAAGCAAACACGGAGAGGAGTTGGAGGTCTAAGTGTTTCATCAAAGACCGAAGCCTATGAAAATCAAATGATGGAAGAGACCGTATTGGTCAGGGAAAGCCTCTGAGGAGTCCTGCTCTGGGCAGAAACAGATAGGCCTTCCAAGTCCCAATATGTTCAGTCATTGTCAAAGGGCTACCTGAGTAGGTAAATGTGAAGGCACTGTTAGATGGAGACTTTCAGCTCACTCCCCTCCTTGCTGCAGAACCACAAGCTTTTTCCTGAAAGGAGATCCAAATGGCACACCTCACTGGCTGCCAGGGAAGTTTAAGCAGTTTCAAAATATTTTAGAAAGAGCTGAATGTGGAACTAAACTGTGCTGTTTCCACCTCCATTGGGTGGGTAGTGGAGAAGAAGGACGTAATCAAAGATAATTTAAAAGAATCCTAATGTATTCAGTCATTCTGTTAATCAGCATAATTTTTTAATCATTTGTGGTTTGGGTGCCCTTTTTGGAGGTTTTACTTGTCATTGTGTTTATGGGAAATTGACAGTTATTAATTGTTTTTAAGCTTGAACCAGTCCTTATTAGAATTCAAATATATTTCCCACTACTGGGTCCAATGTCTATATAATCATTTATCTTACAGTGGATTTTACTGTAAGTGTAATATTTACAAGAAGCAATTTGTCATTCTTGGATTAAGTATAGAAACTTCAATATTTTCTGGATAAATACGTCAAAATAACTAAGATTCAAGCAATACAAGAGAAGGGGAAACTTATAATACAGCATTTTATATTAGAGTTGGGAAGTTTGCTATCTGGTTTGACTCTGTTATCGTTATTGTTTTTATAAATGTGATTTTCCAATTATTAACCATCATTAGAATTAATGGCGTTAATGCTAGTAATCTGTCTCACTAAGGATTTCAAAGTGCTGTATTCTTTAAACGCTAAATGCGTTCCAGGGCTCCCGCAGTGATTCCCACCCTGATTTGCTCTATCCCAAAGTCTCCAGACACAATTAATTTAATTCATATATGAATATGCCATGCAGCACTTTAGGTTAGGGAATGGAGTGGAAGACCTTCACAAACAATCTTGGAATATTTCAACTCCCTAAAGACTGAAATCTCTAATCTAATTGGCAATACATCCCCTTGTCTCAGTGCGGACGGCACTCCTTGTCATTTAAACGTTGTCCTACGTCTGTGTTCTCAGGGCTGGGGAGTCCAGATGAACACATGCACAAGTTGTACAGAGGCAGAGGACGGACGCAGGTCCATGGCTAATGCACGGAGGTACAAAGGATCTCCTGTGCTTGTGCCCAGTGCCTCCTTTCTGGAACCTGCTCCTCAATTCTTCCCTCACATTCCAGTCACATCTCTCCATTTCCCACTCATCCTTCTACTCTGGGCTCTGAGCAGACTTGATTGATCGTCCCAGCTGATTGTCTCTCATGCTGCCTTTCCTCTGCACCCGTGTTCGCTCGATCTGGAACACACCTGCAGCCTTCTCCTCCTTCACCCCTTACTTACCTGAACTGCTCCCACTCTGCCTTCCAGAGCCACATCAAGCATCACCCCGTTTGTAAAGGCCTTTCCTCTTTTTTTTTTTTGAGGAAGATTAGCGCTGAGCTAACATCTGCTGCCAATCCTCCTCTTTTTGCTGAAGAAGACTGGCCCTGAGCTAACATCCATGCCCATCTTCCTCTACTTTATATGTGGGATGTCTGCCACAGCATGGCTTGACAAGCGATGCCTATGTCCGCACCTGGGATCCAAACCAGTGAACCCTGGGCCAGTGAAGCAGAACATGGGAACTTAACTGCTGCACCACTGGGCTGGCCCCTGTAAAGTCCTTCTTAATCACCCCAACCGTCCTCCACCTGCCTGGCCTTCTTTCCTCTAGATTCTTTCCCTTTATATAGATGTCCAATGTTAGAATCGATCTGTTTACATGTCTGGTTCCATCATCTCCATTATAAATGAGAGCAAGGATGATGCATTTTCAAATATGTAGTCCAGGTTTTTGCTAACAAAATACTCAATGCATTTTGTTGAACAAAGGAATGTTCCTCGTCCCAGTGCACCAGGAGCCCACACTTCATGCGGTTCTCTGAGCACCTGCTGCAGGACCCCGCACATACTGGCAGATCCAAGTGCACACAAGCAGAGGGATAGTACCATCCTTGCTAGGACTTCGTCCTCACACTCTCTTATATACCAAATGAGCTTTCTCTGCTCCTTCATTGAGATCAGCTTTCCTTGGCATTGCTGATCTTCAGCTAGTTACTAGAGGAAAGCAAAATTGTTAATGTGTTAATTCTGCCAGTAGTATGCGCATTGAAAAAGAGAATAGGAAGCCAGTAAAAAGTAGAAATGAACCCCTAATGGTGGCATTTCAGGAAATAGGAGGGGACAGATGGGAAGATATTTCTGGACTGGGAGCTTCTGGGTGCCCTTCACATTGTGCCACACAAGCCATTTCCTATTCCTATACAGAAGGTTGGTTCTGCTGCTACCCCACTCTCCAGCTCTCCTGAGAATAGTATTTCTATTTCTGTCTTTTATACAAAGGTAGAGACACCAGTCCTTCTGGTTGTCAAGGACCAGAAAGGAGCCCACCTCATGAAAATGGCCAGTAAAAGCCAAGGACAAAGAAGTCATCTTTTTTTTTTTCTACATTCAATAAACACTGTAATAGCACTTCCCAGTTCATAGAGGCAATCAGTTCAACAGAAAGAGATTTATAATAATTATAACAATATCTTACATTGATTACGTGTTTACGCTGTCACTATACTAAGCTTTCTCCTTTCTTCCTTACACCAACCATACAATAAAGGTCGTTTTCTTATCCTCATTTTACAAACAAGTTAAGTAACTTGCCCATGGTCACAAAGCTGGTCATTGTTTTAGTCAACACCGGTGCCCAGAGTTGTGACTCAAATCCTAAACATACTTTCTGGAAGGGACTCCCTGGTATAGGGAAGGGGGTGCCTAATTAAGCTTCCACATCAGTATACAATCCAGCATTACTGGTACTGTTATCACAATCCTATATATGGCAAGACACTCAGATATTTATCTTATTTCCTTTTATTTCATGAGAATACAGAAGACATTATAATTTCTGAATCAACTTTTTACATTAAACAACTGGTATAGAGAATATAAATGCTTTGCCTTTATTTCCAATATCTTTTCTACAAAAAAGAACTTATGAAACATCTAAAAAATATGTAAAGGACATTTTCAAAATATTTGGGGAGATATTTTAAAGGCTATTATAGGGTCCCTGATTTCAAAGAGTTTACAACCTGAAAAGTAATATTAAGACCTCAACAGGGGCCAGCCCCGTGGCCAAGTGGTTAAGTTCGCATGCTCTGCTTCGGCAGCCCAGGGTTTCAGATCCTGGTCATGGACCTAGCACTGCTCCTGGAGCCATGCTGAGGTGGCGTCCCACGTAGAGGAGCTAGAGAAACCTACGACTAAGATATACAACTATGTACTGAGGGACTTTCGGGAGAAAGAAAAAAAGAAGATGAAGATCGGCAACATATGTTAGCTCAGAGCCAATCTTAAAAAAAAAGACCTCAATAATATTCCCACTCCCACCGGTGTACAAGCTGTGTCCAAACGAATACCGAAAACCTGGGAACGGGGCCAGCCTGGTGGCCCAGCGGTTAAGTGCACATGTTCTGCTTCTTGGCGGCATGGAGTTCGCCAGTTCGGATCCTGGGTCCGGACATGGCACTGCTTGGCAAAAGCCATGCTGTGGTAGGCGTCCCACGTATAAAGTAGAGGAAGATGGGCACGGATGTTAGCTCAGGGCCAGTCTTCCTCAGCAAAAAGAGGAGGACTGGCAGTAGTTAGCTCAGGGCTAATATTCCTAAAAAAAAAAAACCTGGGAACTCACCCATCCACTCAGTAAGCAATCAGACTCTTGGATGTCAGAGACATAAAATAACTGTCAGCTTCACCTTTTACTTTCAAGCAATCGCGTCCTAAACACTGTTAGTCACTAAGTCTGCACACTTCGGAAATTCCAGATCTTCACTAAATCTCATAGAGATGTATGTTGGCATTTTCCTTGAGATTTCCTTTAAAGTATCACTTCTGTCCATCAAGTCAGAGTTCCTGTAAGTACAGCGTGTTTAAATTCTTTATCTTTCCTGACAGGATGTGGATTTCCAACAGCAGCAAAAATCTGACTAGTCTCCTTACTACTCTCTGCAAATGTTGCTCACATGTTTATGTTGAGATTTTCAGGTCATT